CTTAGATTTTTAGTAGACCTTGTAGTTCTAACATATTACAACCGAAGGCGGAGAAGTAATCACCGATATGGGTAAACGTAGGATTTTTTGTTCCGAAATTCTTTCTTTGCGTAATTTTTGCTAATTAATTTGATTAACGTTTTGCTTTTACCTTCTTTTTCTTATATAGTTTATGGGTATTATCTCTCCAAATTGATATTAATAGTTGCGTTTGAAGAATAAGAATTTTCTATCATTGTTTTGGGGTGTGTTTGGCGTTTATTTTATTTATATTTCGTTTTTTTAGCTAAATAAAAGGAATATATGAATTTTGCAGGTAAAAATCAGCGTAAGAATAAGATGATGCTAGATAGTGACGATGATAGTAGTAGTGTAAGTTCATCGTCTACCATGCAATCGGATCAATTCTCAGTTTCTGGAACTGAAGAACTCGAATTTAAAAAGGATAGTTTACTTGATGAAGCTGTGGATACTATGTACGAAAAGAGGTCTGATATTGTTATTTTTTTGCTATATTAGCTTACTTATGTTTTGGATGAAAATTTGATGAAGAATTGTTTACATTTTTAGGGAAGAATTGTTTGGTTAGATGAAATTAGTTACGTAGCCATATTTTAGAGATTTCTCAAATTTTTTAGAATTATTATAGTTTTGAGTTGGATTTGACTCAATTATGTTTTTCACCTTTGTTGATGAAGGGGTTCTACGCTTGAGAAGGCATTGGCCTCGATTATTGAGGCTTTCAACAGCGACTTGCAGCATCAGTTCGTGGAGAAGAAGTGAGTTGCTCTTTTTCCAAGTGTTTCTTAATCTTGGTTTCGATTTATTTTATTGCAAGGATTGCCCAATGTATTAGGACCATGGTTCTATGAGATTTCATGTAGTTTTGATTGGTTGGCGAGAATTCATGAATTGGTTAAAACATTGGCGCCCGAAGAATTAGAACTATCTCTCATTTAGTGGGATTCATTTGTTAATCAGACTTCAGATTCAATACGTTACATTAGATTGTGATTTTCTATTGCCGAGCAAATTTGCAGTTGTGGTTGCAAATGTTTCTTTTGATTTAAAATGTGGTTTGAGTACTTGAATCTATGTGCCTCTAATGGTCATGTTATCTTTTTCCGTTGTTCAGATTTGCTACATTACTGCACCAGTGTCTGAATTCTATCAAAAAGGGGTCCAACAAAGAGATATCTTTAGCTTCCCATGTTATTGGTTACTTTTGAAAGCTTTTGCAGATTCTAATGCATAATGCATGGAAGAGACCACACGAATTAAGTATTCAATCTGATAAATTTCTTTTTGTAGGTTTGCTGGCTTTAACTGTTGGTCCTGGAGATAATGCACGGGAAATATTGGAGGAGTCGATAATGCCTATTTCACGGCTTCTAAATCTGGTTCTGAATCTTCTAAGATAGCTTCGGTATGCAAGAAGTTCAATTGAGATTTGTTCTACTTCTAGTATTTTGTTGGTACTACAATGCTTAACCAGTTTCTTTTTACCTGATTTCCTGTTATAGTTACTGGAGTGCTTGGCTTATCACTTTTGTTGGGGGGATCGATCCAGAGGAAACAAAAATCAATGCAAATTATGTGGCAATCTGTTCATCCTAAGTTAGGTTCTAATGTAAGTATCCTGATTTTCATTAATTGAAAAACATCGAATAGTGTATTGAGGTTCACTGCATCAGTTATTGTTTTAAATTGTTCTTTTTCTAGTGGGGTGTAGTCTTAAATTCTCTTCATATATATCATGGTTATAAATGTACTTTTGAGTTTAAATATCAGAATAGTAGGTTAAAAAACCTTGTGAGACTTCAGTGTTTCCCCAGTATAATGGGATGAGACTGATCAATCTTGGAAAAATATGCAGATCCATAGCATATTTGTCTACTTTGCTAGATAAGGATGACCGATCTTTCCGCATTGCTGCTGGAGAAGCACTGGCAGTAATTTTTGAGATGGGAAGCTTAGAGAAGTTTGTTGCTGAAGCTAAAGGTTCAAATATTGGCTCAATATCTGAAGGAAATAAATCTAAAGAAGGATTCTTACAGATACAAGGACTGAGGGGGAAATTCTGAATCAAGTCAGAGACCTCTCTGTGGAAGCTGGTGGTAAAGGTTCTGCCAAGAAAGATCTTAATAACCAGAGGAATTTGTTTAAAGATGTTTTGGAGTTCCTCGAGGTACTAATATTGTTGTCTTTCATGTTCATGACTTGCAATTCTAGGACATCTCATGTTAACTTTTATCATCTTGGTGATGTTAGGATGGTTATTGCCCGGAGACATCAATGAAGATTGGCGGGGATTCATTGCAGACATCAACATGGTCTCAGTTGATTCAGGTTCCTCTTCTTCCTCTTCCTGTTCTTTGGTTTCTTACATTAGTTATATGCCATGAATTCTTATATTATATAAAACTTCAATGCTACAGCTGAACTTTTTGAGGCACTTTCTTGGTGGAGGTTTCACAAACACATGCAGGTCGGTCTTCTTTTAGTGAAGTTGATGCTTCTTGGTGCAGTTTGCTTGTATTCTATTTTCCGGTTGATTAAGCTCGACATATTTTGTTTTACTGTGTGCAGGAAAACGAGTTCTTTCGAGTTGTTTTTGGTTTTACTCCGAAAAGGAGGAATCTTCTAGGCAGTGCACATATATCCAACGGTCAAAAGTCGGTTAGCTTGACCAGAATATTTAATTAACGATGTTAAGTGTTTTGTTTGAATGCTTTCTATGATATTCTGATTATAGGTATAAGATATTGGTCTATAATTCATTAGGCCATCACTGAGGCATGAACCGCTATATAGTTTTGACAGAATATTATATTCTAGGTTGACGTATGTGACTAGACTTTCTCGGACATGCGAAATTGATATAGATTGGGATTGTGTGGTACAGAGAATGTTGAAATCACCAAATTCAGTTATCAGCAAAGCAAGAACCCAGATCTTGAACAAGCAGCGGATGCAATCTAAGGTAGGTTTTTTCTGTGTTTGATGGGGGACATGGATGTAGTGTTTCCCAAACAAAGTTCCTGGTTAATGTTTTTGTTTTTTCTTGATGTATTCAGGATAGGAACTTTGGGCACTTTGCTGTAAATGCTGGTGAAGACGACGCATAATCTTCTATATGACAGTGATTTATTGAGATTCAAAACTGATAATGTTAAATTTTTTATTTTATTATATAGTTTCATTATTGTGTAACGTTGATTGGTTTGTACAAGGCACCAATGAGAAATTTGGATCGGAATTGACATATAATGAATAAGCAGTTAATCCGGATGATCACTTCTGTAATGATCTAATGATGTATCTATTGAGTTGTGTTTACATAATATTACTAGGATCGTTATAAATTTATAGATAAAGTATGCAGAATTAAATATAAATATAAAAGATAAATAAATAAATTATTGTACATATAAAATATAATAAATATTATATCTTAGATAACAAAATAATTTCAACTTTTTATTATTATGAATGTCTATGATAAATTATTGTATATAGAAGAATGTAAACCTTGTCGATTGAAAAATACAAGAAACCTTCCAGTGAATGCGTCACGTATGAACCGAAGCTAATTTTCACAATATAAACATTTAGTTAAATGTTGATGAAAAATTTTAATATATTTTTACATAAATTATGTAAAATTTAATATTAATTAAAATTAAGATAATACATGATATATTTAAATACTCAAGTAATATATACAAATATAATTTTTTTATAAATAATTTTATTTAAATATTTAGAATTTCACTTGTTAAAAAATATAGAACAAGGACAATTTGGGTAAAATATACATTTCACTAATCTTTTATTCAACCAAACACTGTAATTTTACATTCCTGCCAAACCAACCAAACACAGTAATGTAACATTCCCAGTAATTCTATTTCCTGGTAATCTTTTATTCCCACTGGTAATCTTACATTCCATGAACCAAACGCACCCTAAGGAGTTTGAAAACATCTAAACACTAAACCAAATCTAATCATTAATTTCAATTGGATAATCTCATATATATATATATATATATAATTAATACAAGATTAAAAATAAAAATATAAATACATACCTTTTTTTAATTTTCAAAGATTATTTCTTTTATAGACATTCTTCCAATAGTCAAAAGAAGCTGTGAATAAGGAAAGAATTAAATAAAAATCTGGATACTTAAATTGACATCTTATTTGAAGGAAAGAATCCACGTAATTAATTTAATTGTTAAATCATGATCTTTATAAATGAGAAAACTATCAATTAGGTTATCAGACTAAATTGCATTCTCCAACATCTTTAAAAAAAATTAAAAAATAATTTTTATTTTAGGACAAAATAGTGAATATTATCTCTATATAATTGATCACTTATAAAAAACAATCACTACCCTAAATCAATGGTGATCTAGAAATACTTTTTGAGCGAGTACACATATATTAACAACATAAATATTTTAATAAAATAGATACAAATAAAATTTCAGGATAGTCATTGTTAGTAAAATAAACAATTAAATGAAGAAAATTCAAATTTTAAAATGGACAAATACCACACTTAAAAAATATAGATACGACATGTCCTAGATACAACTTATCCACTAGCATAATTTATATTTATTTAAAAAAACAATATAAAGTATTACATTATAAAAATAATATAAAATATTTTATTTTGTTAAAATCTAATATTAATTAATAAAATTCAAACTAATCTAAATCTAAAATAATTTGAATTGAAGTAGATTTTGTCACCTTGAGAGGCAACAATATATAACACCTGAATAAATCGTTCATCCAGTCCACCCTTCCGGAAAGGTTCAATTCCTCCTCATAGATAAGCTAAGGTCGGTTTAAAATTTAAAATACCTATTTCTTAGCTCCTGATCAATCAAATTCTGCCACGTGTACTCCAAACCGACATCACAAAAATTCTATTAATTAACCCCATATTTCCCCACCCACCAAAAAATAAAAAGAAAATCGAAGGAAGTGACAATCGTAAACGCGTTGAGTAATCAATAGGTCTTCTTGTACACGAAGCTAGTTATCGTATCAAATCGGGGAATTTAGTGAAAATCGAACACTTCAGGTTCGTTAATCATAAATATTCTGATTTGTCAAGTTATTAGGGTTTTCTTTTCAAGATTTCCCCTCATGTTTAGGTTGTAGTTTTTGTTTCCCTTTTCAACGTGTATTTATATATGTTTTCTGGTTTAATTTGGTAGATTATGTTTCACAAAAGTTTACAACTTTGTATTGAGATAGGGCACGTTGGCTATTGGAAATAGGATTTGAATTTCGATATCTTTCTTTTTCTCTAGTTCTCTCAGAAGCCAAATAAAAGGTTATGATGATGGAGATCGTGATCGTTTCTCTTCTTTTTTTTCATTTTTGTTTTTATAAAGCATTCGCTATATTTCGTTGCTATATTTGCATTTTGAATTTGTTGAATTTCGGCCAAATAACTGTGCTTTTATTTAATATTTTAGGGATAATTCATGGCAACTGCAACTATGGCTACTGCAGCTGCCCTTTTGTATTATACATTGAATCGTAAACTGCAGACGGATAGTTCTGGTGATGATGGCAATGACAATGACAATAACAATGAAAATGGAAATGATTCCAATAATTCTCCATTGGGACTTGATCGTGTTTCACATAGGTTAATTCAAGCTCCTGCAACATGGGTAGAGACGATTTCTACATTGTCTGAAACTCTTAGGTTTACATACTCAGAGACTCTCGGGAAGTGGCCCATAGGGGATTTGGCATTTGGGATCAACTTCTTTTTGAAGAGGCAGGTACCGTATGTGTCGTTTGATTTTACTTCTGCTGTATTGTTTGACACCATGATTATTTTATTGATATCGTTTTCTTGGTTTGAGATTTAAACATATTTGCTTGTAACTAGGATACGAGTGTTTGGGAGTGGTGGGGAAAGTTGTTCATAAAAAAGTTGGTAGTTTAATTTACATAAGATAAATCTAAAGGCTTTTGCGTTCCAAATCAAGTGATTCTGTACCAGTTAGTTTAAATCTACAGTCGTTGAACTTATTTTTAATTGCAGTGTTAATATTAGATCTTGAGATTTAACTTTATGGTAAGGTTTTTCATTGAAAGGCTGAATACAGTGCAAAGGATTTTTTTTAAAAGCAAATGTTATTAGCTGTTTTGAACCTTGTTAAACCCTTGCATGTTTCTCAGACTGAGTTAAGATCTATCATGTATCTTTCCAACAGCTATAGTTGTGTATGTCTAAAAATTTCAGCATTGTGAACCTGATGCATCTTGGCATGAGCATCAGTCAACTAGTGTTTTGCTTTTGTGTAGCCAAGATGCTTTTTTTTTTATCAAAGTTAAATTCATTTGATATGCATGAAGTCAATATACTGTACATGTATTGGTTCTTCTTAGGCAGAAACATCTTGCTTTCTCCCTATGATGCTCTGGTTTTATTGCAATGAGATAATTATAAGATCGAACATGTTATCATTTCCGCCTCCAGGAATTTCTTTTATTTTGTAATCAAATAACCAGATGAGTTTTTTATGTTTTTATGTAGTAGTGTTAATAGAAACACCTAATAATTTGTTGTCTAATTGATTTATTTGTATTGGCTCTACATAAAATATAGTTTTTTTTTTCAGGGGCATTTACATGTTGCGAGTGTATTTGGTGGTAAAGATAGCACTGAGCTCAAAGGGCCGGATATAACTGCTGAACTTAAATTTTTGTTAAACTTGTTGACTTTGTGTTGGCATTTTTCAAAGAAGCCATTTTCTTTATTTTTGGAGGAGACTGGTTATGTGGAGGATGATGTTCTTCTCCAAGAACCCAAAGCAGGAGTAAGTCATATATAGTTTTGAAATTTTGTTTCCTTCGACCCCCCTACTTTTTGGATTTTTTGTGTTAAATTTTTAATATTATAGTCAACTTTCATAGGTATGATAGTTCAATTGTATTGTTTATGTGCTTTTGAATTAATGATTAGTGTTATTGCATGTATTGAAATCTTGCAGATTTTGAAGCCTGCATTTACAATACTAGTAGACCACAAAACAAAATGTTTTCTTCTACTAATTCGCGGAACACACAGTATCAAGGATACCCTGACAGCTGCAACTGGAGCTGTAGTTCCATTCCATCACTCTGTTGTGCAAAAGGGTGGAGTGAGTGGTTTAGTTTTAGGTTATGCACATTGTGGAATGGTAGCAGCTGCTCGGTGGATAGCTAAGCTTGCCACTCCTTGTCTCATTAAAGCGCTTGGTCAATATCCAACTTATAAGGTTAAGGTAAAGGCATAATTTGCAATTTATGTTCTTAAATTATTCCTGTGGCTATTTTCTGTTCATATGCTTGCTTGACCTTTAAAATATTTTTAAACAAACCGGTTTACTTGATCAAAAATTGCTAAAATTAATAGATTTAATAGATTGTAGGGCATTCATTGGGAGGAGGCACTGGTGCACTTTTAACTTACGTGTTGCGGGAGCGAAAGGAGTTATCAACAACAACCTGTGTCACATTTGCTCCAGGTTTGTGCTCTCTGTCTTCTGTTAGTCATGAAGAATATATGTCACTTTACATGTTACTGTATTGAACATCTCTGCTGGCCCTTGGAATGTTTATATAATGTTATAACTTCATTCGCTGAACATAGTTATAAGACTGACTATATATTCTAACATGCAGCTGCTTGTATGACATGGGAGTTAGCGGACTCTGGGACTGATTTTATTACTTCTATTATAAATGGAGCAGACTTGGTGCCTACATTCTCAGCTGCTTCTGTGGACGATTTGCGTGCTGAGGTAAATGATAGCAGTTCCGTAGAAATTACATTCTTTCCTTGTGAAAAAAGGGATGCTGAGATATTTCTACTGTAAGCAGAATTCATTAGTACCTTGCATGTTTGATTTGATATGCATACGCTCCTCCTTAAGCTTTTATTTCCTTTCAATGGAGCATGGTAAATCCTACTAGAATGATTTTGAAGCCCTTAATAGCAAATAAATAATTGGCTCGCAAACTCTTATTGGCCTCACCTTCAGTTGTCTGCCTCTCCCTGGTTCTTCCTCTCATATCCCGTGTTGTGATTGAATGGTCCTTATCATGGTTTGTGGCTTTTGATAGCTGATAGATTTAAGAAGTTTGAAACAAATAAGATTTCATTGAAATGTTGTTCTGGAAAGTATCTGGTTGATGTGCTTAAAGGTTTTGTAATATCAAATATGTATCATGAAGAAACTGTTTTTTCTGTTTAGGTGATGGCATCTGCTTGGCTGAATGATCTGAGGAATCAAATTGAGCATACAAGAATTCTAAGTACTGTTTATCGATCTGCTTCAGCGTTGGGTTCTCGCCTTCCATCTATAGCCAGTGCTAAAGCAAAAGTTGCTGGGGCTGGGGCAATTTTACGCCCAGTTTCTAATGGTACACAGGTAGTTGAATTGATGAGCCCAATTCTTACTTCTTCATTACTATGTTTTTCACTAGATACTGTTGTTTAGTTCTAAAAAGCTTTCCAAGTTGAATTTACCTTAAAATCTTAGAATTGTTATGTATAGGTCGTTATGAGGAGAGCACAGAGCATGGCTCATGCAGCATGGAAGCGTCCCACCATAGATTTGTCTTCCTGGTCATGCATTGGACCCCGTTATCGTGGCTCAGCTGCTCGATCAAACTCGAATGAAGAAGGAAGTCCCATAGAATCTAGTCCCAAGAAAGCAGAAACCTTTGAGCCCCTCCCAACACCTTCCCAAATAAATTCATCTTCAAGTACAAAAGAAGCCTTAGAACTTCCTGTGTCTTCATCAGTTGAATGGACTACAGAAATCGAGTATCCATGTTCCAATGATGAACGACATCACAATAGAGATGTTGATCTCAAAGATGGCGAGGAGCTAATAAGCCACAACTCACATGATGACCGCATGAATGAAGTTGAGTTGTGGCAACAACTAGAGCATGAGCTTTACGATAAGACTGAAAGTGATGAGGCGGATGTTGTTAACCAAATAAGGGAAGAAGAAGCTGCAGCCATCGCAGAGGTGAGAAGCGAGGGGCAGTCAGATACTTCAGTTCCGGAAACAAAGGAAGCGCACAGGTTTTTCCCTGCTGGAAAGATAATGCATATAATTACACTTCAGTCTGATGAGGTGGAGTCTGAAGGTGATAGTTTGAGCTCCAGCGACTCCGATAACGGGCAAAGGACAATGGAGCCTAAGATTGGGATCTTCCTTACACCAAGATCCTTGTATAGTAAATTGCGGCTTTCCCAGAGGATGATAGGTGATCATTTCATGCCTGTTTATAGAAGACAAATAGAACAGCTAATAAAGGAGCTTGAAGAGGAGCAAGCTCAGAATGTTGGGAACCGGAACCAGGATCATGGTGGATATTCTGGTGAGGTAGTGTTATAGGAAATACTTCCCTCTTTTTTTCTTTTTCCTTATTTTTTCTGGATACAAGCAATTTATTTTGGGAATCTATTTCTTTAATATATATGTTAAACTTGCATTTGCTATAGGGGAAAAAATCATATTAGATTGTATTTTCCTTCCTATCTATCCTCACAGCTTAGCGTCTCTTTTCGGCTTATGATGGTATTTTTTATGTTTTGTTTTCAAAGACAGTGCAACTTCTGATGTCAGGTATGGGCCAATTAAAGGTAAGATTTCAAGAGCTAATAAAAGGCTTAATTACAAAAATAGAAAAGTGTTTATATTATACCCCTTTTCTTATTTTGGTGTTTAAATCTTTTTTGATTATTTAATTATCTAAATTAATTTCTAAAATTATTCTTAAGATTCGTAAGTCTAATCTTATCATCTGATTACGATTGGCGCCGTTACCATTTCAATTCTCTCTCTGAGGAGGTCCGATGAATTTGAAATCCATGGATTTACTCCCCGGTAGGCTGGTTTTTCCCTGCCAGCTCCTATGTATAATGCTCCGAAAATGGTTGGTTCTAGGGGTGCACAAAAAATTCGAATATCCGATTTTGCGAAAAAAATATCCGAAACCGGATTTGGGAAAAACCGGTTTTTTTTAACCGGATCGGATTTTTTTAAACCGGTTATTTTAACAGGTTTGGAGAAAAAAATCCAGATCGGTTTTTTTACCGGATAAAAAACCGGTTTGAAAAAAATCGGTTAAAAAATCGGTTTTTATCCGAAAAAAAAATCGGTATGGGTTTAAAAAACTAGCCGTTAATATAGCCGTTTGTGACCGTTTTGACCGTTTTTTTCTTTAAAAAATTATCATTTTACCACCCTAAACATGTATAAATAGGTTGGAGATGTATTTGGTTGATTACAACTTTCTCAAATCTTATTACACAACACTTAAACATATCTCAAATCTTAGTTTTGTAATTTTTTGTTCATCATGAGTAACACGGCTGAATCTTCCGTCGGGGTAAACCTTGAAGACGTGAAAGTGATCGAACACACTCGAAACAAAGATATTTGGGATCACTACGATTTATGTGAGATGTCAAATGGCTCGAGGAGGGCGCGTTGTAAACTTTGTCTAAAGTTTCTTGCATCGGAAGGAAACACAACGTTGAAGAACCATTTGACAAAATCATGCAAGACACTTCGCTCAAGATCGGATCCTAGTCAATCGAATCTTACTTACACTGCAAGGTAGTGTTTTTGTTTACGACAACGAAAAATTACGAGAAGCGTTTACAAAGTTCGTGATTACAAAAGCATTGTCGTTCGACCACTTTGATGATGAAGATTTCACGACAACAATTCAACAACTAATGCAACCACGTTATACTCAAGTAAGTCGTACTACTCTTAGAAGAGATGCTATAAAAATGTGGCGTACGGCGAGGGAAAAAATGATTTTAGGATTCCAAGAACACCGTTATGGTGTGTCGCTTACATGTGACGTTTGGAGTTCCCCTCATAATACCGGAAATTCTTTTTTAGCCGTTACGTCACATTGGTTAGATCAAGATAATTGGCAAATGATGAAAAGAACAATCGCGTTTGAATTATTCGGTGAGCCGCATACCGGTGCTAATTTATTTACACTTTTAAAAAGGGTAATTTGTCTTTATAAATTAGAAAATAAAGTTTTTTCTATATCCTTTGATAATTCATCGAATAATACAAACGCGGTTCCAAGATTGAAATATTACTTTCACCGATTTTAGACGGTGCGTTTTTTCATACCCGTTGCGTTGCACACATAATTAATTTATCCGTGCAAGCCAGTTTGGAGGTTATTGAGCCAATTAGATTAGAATTTAAAACAATGATAAAATCAGTTCTTTGTAACAACAACAAAAGACTAAATGATTATAAACGATTTTGTAAGTCTGTTAATAAAAAAGCTTTGGGTCCTAATTTGGATTGTCCAACTCGTTGGAACTCAACTTGGATGATGATGCATACTGCCTTAAGGCAAAGGGAAACATTGCAAACATTTCACGATCGGCTTTTCGAAAGGGGTCATGTCCCAAACATTTATCCGGAATCGAGTTGGGAAACTATAGCCAAAATAACTGATTTGCTTGAGGTTTTAAAAATGCAAAATTTTTATCCGGTGTTATTACCCTACTAGCCCGTTGGTTCTTAATCAAATATTTTTGTTGGCTACCCGACTAAATGACTTTGAATTTAAAACCGAATTTTTTCAAGAAATTGGCTTTGCAATGAAGGAAAAACTTTTAATATTTTAAGGGATTCCCCCCATTTTTACTTGTGCCGCCGCTTTAAACCCAACGTTAAATGTTGGTGGGGTTGAAACACTAATTGAACAAATTGTGTTTGCTTTTAATCTAACCGATGATGAACCCAACTTTGTCCAAAACCAAATAAATTATTTTAACAAACGTTTTCGAGACATGTTTGCAATTTATTTAACTAAATACGAATCAAGTAGTGTAATACACGATCAAATGAGAATGAATGCGGAATCATCTAGTAGACGTCCAAGTAACATAAATTTGAATATTTTTAACACTCTTGTAAATTCCCAATCCAAACGATCACGTACTACCACCCCAAGTAGCGAGTTGGGAAATTACATGTTATGCGATTTTCTATCAAAAATGACATTTGAAGAGTTTGAAAGTTTGGATATTTTGGCTTGGTGGAAAGAAAAGGAAGCACAATTTCTGATTCTAGCCGCCATGGCCCGTGATTTACTAACCGTCCAAGCTTCTACGGTAGCTTCAGAATCCGCTTTTTCTGTTAGTGGCAGAGTTATATCGCAACGGAGATCAAGACTAAGTCCCGAGTCGGTGGAAGTATGTATTTGTTTAAAGGATTATTTGGATGGAGCGGCTCGTAAGCAACATATCACCACCCTAGAAGATGCAATTGATGCCGATTTGGAAGCAAACTTACACATTGAAGAAGTCGAACTTGGAATATCCCCTCCAAACGAAGAAGGCGAAGATGATGAAGAAGAGATGGCAATGTAGTTTATTTATAACTTTATTTCAATTATCGTAAACTTTGTTTCAATTATCGAACTTGAAGTTTTTAAGTATTTGAATTTATCGAACTTGGAAGTTTTTAAGTATTTGAATTTATCAAACTTGGAAGTATTTAAGTATTTCAATTATGTTGAGTTAATTAAGTATTTCAATTAAGTATTTGAATTTATCGAACTTGAGGTTTGATGCTTTCTCTTTGATTCTCTCTTGATTCTAGTTGCTTGATGTTTCTTGTCTTTGATCAATGGCTTCTAAGCTTGCTTAAATACACCTTGAATCACTTCTGAACGTTAGTGATAATTAATGAAGATAATATAGCCGTTTAAGTGTGAAAACATTTAATAAAAAACTTGGAGCGTGGGGGAATCGGTACCCTCTCATAGGGAATCAGTTTCCTCTCATAGGGAATCGGTCCTAAGTGTAAAATTCAAATATTTCGACCGTTGAATAGGGGGCGGTACCCCTATGGGGGAATCGTTCTCTCCGAGCATTCTGGAAATCTCGGAGCCAAACCATTCAGTGAGGAATCGGTACCCCCTTGGGGGGGAATCGGTTCCCTATGAGCAATATGGAATATTAAAATCGGTTTTTTTATAACCGGTTTTTTAAAAAAACCGGTTTTTTTAAAACCGAAACTGGTTTCACCGGTTAGGATATCCGGCCCTCCAAACCGGTTAGAAACCGAACCGGTTATTTTATAAACCGGTTTTTTTCTATGGGAAAAAACCGGATCGGATAAAAACTAATCCGGATCGGATTGAAATCCGACAAATGTGCACATCTAGTTTGTTCTATTGTTTATAACTCGAACTAGTGTACTGCAATGGAGCTTCGAACTACATCGATGACTATCTTTTACGGTGGTCAATTGATGATGGTGTTCAATGTTTTTTCATTAGAGAAAGCAAAGGAGATCATGCTTTTGCCTACCAAATGCAGCTGTAAAACAGTTTCAACAGGATACAAACATTACTTCTAGCATGCCCGAGTGAAGGTTTAATCGATGATAATGACAACAAAAGATAGTAACGGATATATGTAAAGATATTGAAATTAGAGTTTTTAAAGTTTTGAGGTAAGTTTAAGATTTGAAAAAAATTGAGTTATTTTTTTCAAATAGATATTATTTTAAATAAAAAATTTAAAATTTTATGAATATAGCATATATCGTTTAACGAATTTTCTTAATAATTGTTACAATTGATACACACTTAAAATGACAATATTTTTAGTGTTAGAGACCCACGTTATCTTATAAAAAATTTAGAGACCCAAATAAAAAAGTATATAGTTTGGAAATTTTTTACATTAAGCTTTAAGATAATCCAATCTTTGATAAAATATTTTAGTTAAAATTTAATGTTGGTTGTTAAGTTATTAACATTTATTCCGAATGAAGATCAAATCTGAAATCAACTGATATTTAATTACCAAAAATATCTAGCAAGTAAACATGCCCAGAAGGAGAATCTTCAAAGTTGTCCCCCTTACACGTTTTTGGGTCGCACGTGGCAGAAGATGATTAGTGGGCAAAGAAGGTTCAAACTTTCCCTCCACTCACAAAGGATATTTAAGGAAAGGTAGTCTAATATAATATTAAGAAAATATGTTATTAGAAATATTAATATTTTTTAAAATTTTTAATAAAATATCACCTAAAATGTTATTTTTTTATCAAAAATATTAATATCGAACGTTACCTAAAATATTAATTTTCTATCAAAAATGTTTATATTTATAAAATATTCATTTTATATATTAAAATTAATATTTTTAGTAAAAATAATAATATTTTAAGATCGAAATCCAGAAAGAAGAGAGGAAAAAGGAAGGGGATTGAAGGAAATGATTTTCATGTCTGAGATTTTCTTCTCTGCTGGAAAGCTGGAAGAAGGAGAGTGGGAGAAGGAGAGATAATAATAATAATAATAAAACACGTTTTTCTTCTAAAAACCCGTTGCAGCAACAACAACCTCAAAGTTTTGTTTCATCTGCTGGTAATTCTTTTCAACACACTTTCATGTTGTTTCTCTTCTCTGTTGTTGTTTCTGGGTTTTTTCTTTGTTTTAATAGGTTTATGTTAAAAGTGAATCTGAACATAATCCGTTGCTTTTAGATTACACTGATTATTGACTTGTATGAAAGATCAAAAAAAGAATGATAATTTATTGGTTTAGTTGTTACTTAATGCAAAAACGCCACCTAAATGTTAGGTAAGCTGTAACATATCTCAAAAGTCAATGTTCTTCATTCACTTCTTTTTCACCATTTTCACATCAAAACAGGAAGCCAGAAGAAGAAGAAAAAATTTGTTTATTCACCTTATTTATGCCTTGTTTGCTTTGAAACAGCTTTATTGGCAATGTCTGCAACAATAATTGGTGATGCCATGGCAGTATCAGCAGAAACTCAAGCCACATCGGGAAAACCTGAAGTTGATTCGGTGAAGTGCGATTGCTGCAGGCTGACCGAGGAGTGTACCCCGACGTATATCGAACATATACGAGAACGATATCAGGGTAAATGGATCTGCGGCCTCTGTACTGAAGCAGTGAAAGATGAGATTACAAGGACACAGAGGCTCATTAGTACTGAAGAAGCAATGGCCAGGCACATGAAGGTTTGGCAAGCGTTTGTGTCCTCGGGACCGCCTGCTGATCCTACGGTTCATCTCATATCTGCCATGAGAAGTATTCTCAGAAGGAGCTTGGATTGTCCGAGAGGTTTAAGATCAACCCCGAGTAGCCCTACGAGAAAAGTGGGTGAAATTCGGGGTCCAGGGCTTACTCTGTCCGAGAGTTGTTTCCCTACCCTCTCCGGTTGAAAGAGCTGTGCTGCTGTAAGACACAATTTTATGTCAAATATACCTCTTTCAGATCAACTCTACTCGTCTTTTCCAGTCGTGTAAAGCTTTTGTAGATTTATTTGTTGCATATTTCACTTCCTGGGAAATTTTATCTATGGGGCTAGCAATAGCATAAAATTAAGGCTCAACTAATTCACTTCTATGAACATCTTTATATTCTTTTAATTCGAATAATTATGTAAAACTTGAAAACATTTCAAGTACAATCTTTCCTGCCAACATCTTCGTCCGTCTCTGAATGGAAGCGATCGTGGACAGCTCTGCAGCGGCTAATGTACAGAGCCGACAGACACAAGATTCTGGAAATGGGAGCAGTGCATGCATGGCTGTTAAGTGAACAATAACAAGTACGACAGATCATCTTACTCTGTTTCTTTGTTTTTATGATAAAACAAAATTGATTGTAGTTTTAAGTCATAAATCACTTAAATTTATAATGTTAATTATATTGTGAATAAAAAATTTAATCATTAATTAAATTGTATTTTTTTTTATAATTTTAGTATTGAATATTAGTTGGTAATTGAATTTATTTAGTAATTAGATATAGGTTTCTCAATGATCAAGAATTACACTATAGATATAGAATAAGTCTTAACTTTTAAAAATATGATAAGAGAATTGTTTTGTCCAGATGTAATTCTTTTTTTGGATTTATGTTACTTTTGAGATTTCAGTTGTAGTTGTAGTAACGATTTTATAAGAATTATTAGAGTCTTTCTGGGATATATTAAGTTTTAATATGTAATATCGAACTATGAGATATATAAGATATTATATATTTATAATCTTCATTTGATTATTTATTTTTTCTCATTAAAAAAATAAACATGAAATATTACCATTATCTATTTTCCACTTATAAATTCTTAACAAAGTTTCAAAATAAATTTAATAAACAAAACCGCACCAAAACCATAGAAGAAGTTTTATGGATGGAAAAGTATAATGTAAAGGACAAAATCAGTCGGCATATAAAGACCAAACTACGATGCATATAAGATTTTGGATAAATTACACATGGTTTGAAAATGTTTTGAGTTCAAGTATTTTCATGTAAGATTTTGTATAAAGAACAAATGGTTTGCCTATAAAGTTTAATTGAATTGGAATCTAGTTCGAGTTTAAACTTCAATCGAACTAAATTTAAAAATATTTCGAGTTCAAGTATTTTCATGCCCTTGTCCCTCGACCTTCAAGTCTCTCGTTGGGGAAATTGTTTCTTTGGTTAAGGAAAGGGCTATTATTCTGTGCTTTACTCGTACAAGTGGAAATACAATGGCTGATGGTTCGGCAAAACAAGGGATTGGATGAATTCTTGTTGGACAGTTAGTGGAACTTGATTTTTTTAATAATATTTATGAGGTATTCTTTTTTTTCATCTGCTATCTAATGATGTATTCCTCAGTAAAGATACTAAAGAGTAGGAAGGGTTTTTTTTAATGAGATCTCCAATTTTTATTAAAATAATATTTTTTAGATTCGAATTGTGTTTCAATTTTTAACTTTAAATCGAGGTTGAAAACTTTAATTTTGTGAACTTTTGAATCGAGTTGATTTTTAATTTTGAGTTCGTATTAAACTCAACAATACTCAAGTATAACTTGATTGGTTTACAACCCTACTTATCTGCATTGGTTGTATGCTTTTTCATCAACTTTAAAACTTTATTCATTGATTTTTAGGCATCATTTCAAAAAAAAAATATTTAATTTTGATTAAATATTTTTTTTTATTTTTTAATAAAAACATCTTAATTCTTAATATTTTATTTTAGATTAAAATGAAAATCGTCAACTAATTAATAATTATTACATTAAAATAATAAATATAATTATCTTACATACCATCACACTAATGTAACAATACCATGTATAAGTGTCCTCAATCATTTGAGTTTTACGTTATTACATATAAACAGATAACACTTCTTTTGAATCAAACAAGTAACCTCAATTGAAAATGAAAAATTCTAAACTCAAACATCTACGTCTGTAAAATATATATGCATCGGAAATTGACAATAAAAATTCTAAATAAATATTACCTTATAACCACTCCTATATAAAAACGAAAACCAACCATTTGGTTTTTAATTGCAGGAACTGTCATCTTCATTAAACATGTTTGATTATGTACATGTAATGTAAACAAATTCTGACTAAATTAATGTCAGTCTAGATAACAACATAATTTAAAAATATTAAAATATTATTTTTATAAATAATAGTTAATATTGCAAGACAATACTTTTATATTTTCATACTTGATAATATTATAAAAACACGAAGAGAACGATGTGACAGAGCCAAAGTAATGTGCTTCTGTGATCAGAATTATTACAGCAGGTACATAAAGAGGAGTTCGAAGGATAGTTTAATGCTGCATGAAAATGGTTAATATGTGCTTTTACCATGTGCAGATTCCTAGCCAAAATTGATTCCTTGAGCCAGCGGTAACTCGTCCCCGTAATTTATTGTGCTGCAAAACATATTAAACACAGTTCATTCAGAATGTCGATGGAAGAAAACCCCAGTTTTGAAGCTAACCGAAACGATGAAATGAGGAAATGGACTTCGTATGTTTACCAGGTTGAGCGTCGCATATATTGTTTCCAAGAATCACTGCCGGCTTCACGACCCCCTCCTGTAGCCTTTTCGCCGCCAAAAGCACCACCAATTTCAGCCCCGTTGGTAGGAATGTTCACATTCACAATACCGGTGTCACTTCCTTGTGGCCTGCACATGAGATTGTCTATATTATCATTCCAAAGCCATATTAATTATCAAAAGTTTCTTGTTAATGGACATATTTTGATAATGGTAACAGGATTAACAAGTAACCGGATAGACAGACTCACCCGATCCATTTGAAAATGAATTCGGGTTTACGAGTGAAGATGGAACTGCTCAATCCTTGAGGAACAGAGTTGTTTATTTCAATTGCTTCCTTCAAAGTCTGCAAAATTAGAAGTTTCAGACGGCAGCTTGTTGTCAAAGTTCCCCTCGGACTCTATTATACCACCACCAGTAAGAATCTTTCCCCCCTGGAAGCAATCACAAGATAGAAAAATTTCAAGATAACCAAAATACAAAACAATGGATATTCTAACCAACTTGGGTTCTACGTTCATAAAACAAAACCATACATAAAGTCGGTTCATAAAGCTTCACACCGCAACACTGCGTAGAGAGTTTCAAGACTACCTCCAAACAGTGTTGAAAGTCAACAATACAAGAAAGTCGTCATTTGATTCTTTACCGACACCCAAAAACTATTTTATAGAAGATGGTAGAAACCTTAGACATGGGTTGAACAAGGTCTAGGAGTGAAAATGAAGAACACACCTGTGATTTGATCGTCTCTATTCCTTTCTCAAAGTTCTTCCTTGAAGTAGAAGTATGCAGTGGCCCAAGCAAGGTACCCTTTTCTAACGGGTCCCCTATTTTAACTTGTTTGTACACATCAAGTAGCTGGTCAACTACAGTCTGATATATATTTTCATGAAGAAGCTTCAATACAAACAAACAGAAAACTCAGCAGAAAAATCATTTGCAGGTTTCAATACCCAATATATATATATAGATATATATATATATATATATATATATATATATATATATATATATATATATATATCAAAGTCCAGAAGAAAATTCACGTAAATAACAAATACCAGTCTACGGCATGTGGTACATCGCTGACCAGCAGTACCCACAGCAGCAAATAGTACAGACCGAACAGCTAATGGTACGTCGGCATCATCCATGACAATTATTGCATTGTTTCCACTTAGTTCAAGCAAGCATTTACCAAATCTCTCATTTACTGTTTGTTGTACTTTTAAGCCCACCTGCAGTTAAATGTAAAATATAAATTAAAATCTAGGTGTAATGACAGTGTCTGTGTATCTAATAGATATGTAGAGAAAAGTTTTTGTTATTTGATATGAAAAAGGATCAAATTTGGAATGTTTCTTCAACAATTAGTAAACCGTAATTTCCTTTTACTTTCTTCAACAAGGATATACAATATCCTATCCTGTCATTCCAAATAAAATACATAATAACGTAATTCCATCAAATAGGCACGGGATAGAAGTACCTTTGAACTCCCTGTGAATGAAAGTAGATTAATGCGTGTATCTTTTGCAATTGCTTCCCCAATTTCAGCACCGCCACAAAATGATGTGAAAATTGCACTGGGTAAATTATTATTTTCCAAAACTCCAGCCACTAGCTTTGTCATTGCTATTGTGACCAGAGGAGTGGTTGGAGCACCTTTCCTACAATTCATGCCAGTTTTGAAGCACCGAGGTCGTAAGTTAATACATTAAAGAGAACCTTAATATGTTTAAAGCAAATTATGCCAACTAAAGAAGACATGGTTATTAAGCATAAATCATTTTAAGGAAGATTATGCAATTGGATTATAGAATATAAAGTGCTGATCAGCACGGCCAACACATCGATAGAAGTGAAATAATCAAAGAGTTCTCGTGATCTTTCACAAGTATAAATATCTCATTATAGCACTACAGAATTGAACCGATTTACAGTTTAATGGAAGGAATGAAGTACATGCAATTATTAGTGTGAAATAAAACAAAAGAATTTACTATCCCATGATTAGGAAGTTCCATCAAAGGGAACCAAGGACATAAAAGCCGTAAGTAAATACCAAATGCAAATTCAAAAATGAAAAGGATAAACAGGAATTTTTAATCCAGAAAAAATGCATAGTACTTGATATACTGGAATTTAAAATTAATTAGAAAAGGCATAATGGATACACTAAGAATATATATCATCGTAGGGGTTCAAATAATCCCGAAAAAAGTGGAAACATAATCATTGAGAAAACTTTGACATCAAGCCTTACCAGACAACGCAGTTTCCACACACCAGTGCAATGCAGGCATTCCATCCTACACAATGCAAAAATTGTAAATAGAATAGCTATCAAAATATTTATAGCAAGGTAAGTTATTAGTTTGATACAATGCCTACCATAAACAAATTCTTTATAGGAAGATCAATTATCTAAAATTGTGGTCCATAGATATGAATCCAGTTGAATAAAATCCCAGAAGCAACAAAATCAAGAAACATAAAAATAATAAGAGTTATTAAAGTATCAGTTGTGTCAAAAAAGTTTAAGCTTCTCTGCAACGACAATGGCAAGTGCATAAATAAAGGAAATGCTACTTACCAAGAACAGCGCATGGGAAGTTAAATGCCGTAATTACACCAACAATTCCGAGGGGATTCCACATCTGTCCCCAGAATACAAGAGCAAAATATAAATTTTCTTCTCAGACATGATCTAGGAATCTATGTTAAAAATGTTTAAACCAGTAGCTCACCTCCAACATCATGTGATTTGGACCTGTTAGAATACAAGAGCAAAATATAAATTTTCTTCTCAGACATGATCTAGGAATCTATGTTAAAAATGTTTAAACCAGTAGCTCACCTCCAACATCATGTGATTTGGACCTGTTAGCAAAAGAACCAATCATTTTAGTATGAATTCCTATCATCTATATTAACGTACATATGTATTACTTGACTAAATTTTACAGTATCAATAGAATTTTTATACTTTTTATACTATATTTAATACAAAATCCAAACTGATGAAGGTAATTATAAGAAAATGCCAACAGCAGTAAACATGCAAATTTAAACATTCCAGCAAAATTTATAAACTTTGGTAATCACAAGATCATAAACAGAACTCAAGCCATCCAGAAACCAACCATAAGAAGATGTATAAAGTAGTGATGACTAATGGACTTATGCACTTACGTTCTGAAGGTATTACCGATCCATTCAATTGCCGGCTCAACCCCACAGCAAAATCACACATGTCAATGATTTCCTGCAAGATTAGCATTTAACAAAAGTAAAGATGAAGAAACTACAGATATAGTTAGTGTGTTTGTCAAGCATTTTTACAGATTTGTATAATGAACCAGTAAAACGACAGAATAGACCCACTAAATAAAAAAAGTTATAGGAATGTCACATCATGAAAGCTAACACAGGACAAAATGACAACAAAATCGTATAACATGTGGCAGACTAACAATGTTGCACCTGCGTTTCATGGAAAATTTCATGATCTCCTTCAATAATGTTATTGACAAAAGAAAATGGAGAGTGCTTGCTGTAAAAGAGAAATATCTTAAATTAACACCGTTACAAGATTTGGTGAACTCAAACTACATACATTGAAAACCTCAAGTCTTGAAGAAAGGTCTTCTTGCTGCATTGCTTTGACTATTAATACACAAAATTTTAATTTATTTATTTTCCAGATAATAGATATTGACAGACTCCTAATACAAAGTACCTCTTGATTCATGTGAAGATTCAAGAAATGTTTAAACTAACTCAACCAAATGCTATATTGCTAGAGAAGCCAAGACCGCTAACATGTAGTTCAATATGGGCCACCTTATAAAATATTAAATGCAAAGAATCAATGTGATAACAGTGGCAGAGCTCCATAACATACTTGAACTTCCCCAATTCCTTCAGGAAGAATTTTTCCCATCTCAAGAGAAACAAGGCGGCCAAGTTGCTGTAGTTTGGATCTTAATGCATCACCTATTTGCCGAACAATGTCGCCTCTCTTAGGGGCTGGAACCTGAAACAATAAACACAGCATAAGAGGCTCAGAGAAGTAAAAATGGCATCAAGAAATGTAAATCTTCCATCCAATTGTAGAGCACGGTATCCGTTCATCTTACTTGCATCCAAATCTTTGCTGCTTCACTGCAAGCTTGCATCCCTTCCTCATAATCTTGGATGGAACCCTCACAGACGTCTGCAATTTTCTGTATAAGCAACATTGGAATTACACTAACTTTATACGAGTGACGAAATTAATAGTTTCCAAATGCATGGATCAAGTAGATTTGATACTCAGTTACTAGCAATTGTGTTTATAAAACATTACTAAACTAGGCAAATGAATAAGCAAAAATAAGAGAACCTGCAACATTGAAGTAAAAGATTAAAAAAAATCAACTATTTCAGACAGAAAGTGAATTAGTGTAAAAGAAACTGAAACCAAAGTATACTTTCACTCTATAGAAGCACCAGAAACACAAGGTCTTAACTTTGACATTATTTTATTGATTTTTAAATTCCGTATATGCTAGTTTTTCAGATGGGCAAATCCATCAATGATTCATGATCAGTCTCACAACAATTAATGATAAAACCATCTAGTATGAATAAAACATTCATAAAATAAGAACCTGATTATTAGCAGGATTAACAGTGGAAATCGTAGGGCCATTTCCTTTCCAAATGCCATTCACAAAACAACCCAAATTGCTAGAACTCAATCCAATCTCACTCAAGAACTCGTACTCTTTCCTTGAAAAACCCATCTCTGCAATTACACATACAAAAAGTTGAAGGGGGATAAAAAGAAGCTCCCTTAAAAATCTAACCGAAATAAAAAAAAAACCCAAAAACAGAAGTAACAAAGGCAAGATTTTGAGTGTTCAGGACACCCTTTTGATGATTCATCAAGAATTTGGCATCTTTTACCTTGGTTTCTGAGAGTTTTTTCTTGAGTACCAAACAGAAGGGAGAAGAGAAAATCTCAAAGTTAAAGAAGGGTACAGGTTGATGTGGATAGAATATAGAGACAGGGTAGCTGAAGTAGAGAACAGACATATACTGAGGTTTAGGCCTATGAGAGACGTGACGTGTGGGGGATGTACATACAAGATGAGATGAGATGAGATGAGATGAGATGAGATGTGATGAGATGATTAATTTTGTCCATACCACGTAATGGATATTAACTTATTAAGTGTTGTTTTTGGTTTTTTGATGAGCTGCCTCTCCCTCAGCCCTCATCTCATTGTTTTCTTTATTTTATAACACATAGCTATCTTGTCCTGTACTCAAAATCGAAATTAGTTTTTTTAATACTGAAATATGATTTTGAATTTATCGGTATTTAATTTGTCTAAGATATTAGATTTTTTAATCAATATTAAAATTTTAAATTTTGATTATTATATATGAAATAATTTAGATTAGAAGAGTCATCTTAATAATATGTCTCTGTAAAATTCAATCTATAATAATTAATTAATAAATTAAATATCAATAATTAGTTATAAAATATATGATCTTAAATTGTAAGATAAATTTTATTGGTAATCTTTAAAATTTTAAGACAATCATTGATTTTCTAATTTTTTTATTATAATTATTAAATTTTAAATTTATTTTAATTATAATTATTACCTGACGTAGTAGTATATTTACCTATTATTTTATCATCATTAATCTTAAAAGATTGACGTCTAATCAATAGATTCAACTAATTTAATTTGTTATATAAGAATATTTTTAATCATAATATAAATTATAAAATAATAGAAAAATATGATTTTATTATAATTTTATAACATCAATTAAAATATATTAAATTTAAAATATTATTTATAATGTATGTTATAAATATAGAAAATGATGTATAAAAATCAAACTAAATTAATTATAACATAAATTAAAAAATATAAACTATAAAATTAATTAAAATATATATTCATGTTTGAGTTTAATATATCAAATAATAAAATATGAAATAAATAATATTAATCATAAAGTAAAATATAAAATAATATAAAAAATATATTTTAAACATTAATTATAATATCATCATTAAAATAATCTATAAGAACATGACATGTGTCATGTTGTTATTGAGCACGTATAATGTTCTTTTAGATAAAATAAAATCAATAATAATAATTTAACGAAAAATTAAAGAAAATAGTTTAAGGCATAAAGTGAAAAAATCTAAGATAAGTTTATCGTCACTCATAATACTTATAACATATATTACTTTGTAATTACCGTTAACTTAATTAAAAAATCTAGAATGAGTCTACAACAAACTGTATATAATATTGTAAAGTGTAAACCATTAATGTTATACATTGATAGACATTATTATTATTTTTATATATATTTTAAAATCTAAGAGGATTTAAAGGGTAATTAATTAACCCTGTTCTTCATTGAGTTTTAATTGGGGAAGGATTCAACTCCCGCCCCCTTTTGTTCCAACTCTTCATTTTTTTTTCTCAAGACCTACACTTGACTGAAATATTGTTATGATTTCTGGAGATTCAGCGGAGAGAGCTTTGTTTCTTCCTGGAGAGAAGGTTGCCAGATTTAAGAGGTGGAACTCGATGATCAAATAGGATCAATGACAATCAGGAGACCAATGTTAGCTTAGTTACAACAGATTAGCGCGTTGGTACTCAACGAGGGATCTAGAAATATAATTGAAGGAAATTCGGATTTCAGGGTTAACACGTACTAGTGGTGCTACTAGAGTTAGAGGGCACAAAGCAATGAATGAGGATGACAATGCGAAGCTTGTTGTTCCTGGAACATGTGGCAGGGGTTGTGCCGGAAATAAACTTGCCAGTGAGGCACTTGGTTGAGAAACCTGCAGAAAGATTGGTTGTTGTCGAGGAAGAAGAAAGCACTAGTCCACTTCCTGAAAGGGTGCAAGTAGGCAACTCTCCTGTGTACATGTTAGATAGAAATCTGGGTAAAGGGGGTCTTAGACAAGTTTATGTTGGAACTCAAACAACCAGATGATGAAAGAAGATATGATTGCTTTTATAGCAGTTGAGGCAATATCCATTCTAGAGCAACTTCATCACAAAGGTTTTGTACATGCAGATGTTAAGTCGGAGAACTTTTTACTCGGCCAGCCTGGGACCTCAAATGAGAAGAAGTTATATTTGGTTGATCTGGGTTTGGGTATAGCTGTTTTCATATTACTTGCCGAAAGATGATTTACTATTTTTGTGGAGTGACCTTATTCTTGATCCTTTTCGACCGCTTCTTTTTAGTCGATAATCCAACTATCCAAGTGTAGGTTGTTGTGAAGCAATCGATCCACACAAAAAATATATCATAAAATATTCTTGGTTAAGCATGACCCCTTCACTAGTGTTTGGTGTTGGTGTTAAAAAGTATTTTTAAGTAGATAAATGTCTGTTTTAGACATTATTTTTGAAAATATAAAAAAAATATTGGTATATTTTCAAAGTGATTTTGGGGATATAAACAATACAAAACAAATAGTGGGTTATTTGATTTTGGGTTTTTGGCTTGCTGCTTTGTTTTACTTATTGGGCAACACTGCAGCTGACTACTTTTTCTGTTCATTGGAGAAGCTTTCGCTTCTGCTTATGTTGCTCCAACTGTTGCTAGGGTTACACTCCTTCCGTTGGGAAATGGGGCACCGATGTGTTTGTGAGTATAGCAGCGATTTAGGGGACAGATACAGGGGGAGTGGGTCTTAATAGTGTGTTGGGTGGTGGCGTTTTTGTTACAGATACATCGGAGCTTGGTCGAAGAGTCCTTCCTCGAACTTGTTCCTCAAGACAGCAGCTTGTTTTATACCATGGGCTTTCTCATGTCAGGACTAATCTGGGCACTTATAGTTTTGCCTCGCCCTCGGAATGACATGCAGCCTAGCAAGATAGGACTGGGTCTTGTAATTCTCTATATGATATTTCTTTCACTCAAGGTGACCAGTGATATGGGATATATATATCACTGGGTGGTTTAAGCTGATTCATTTTAAGGTGACATGTCAGATTGATTGATTAGCCAGATCGATGTCAGCAGTTTCCATGTTCTATCAGCTATCTAATTTATAGGGCGGAGAAAGCCTCTGATGTATCCCATCCCTATAGACAATGTAAGATTTACTTGGATAGGCAAAAATGATATAAACTCACCAAATTCTTTGTGGGGTTTTAGTATTTGTTGAAAAAAATCTCAAACCACTTCATTTGTAAATTCTACCACTAATCGTTTGTTTGATCATGTAGTATCCCTTGATCTTCAACTTTCCCTGAGGTGTATCCTTACGTTATCAAATAATATTTCCTCGGTGCTAGTTTTCTTGGCTGAACTCATTTTGACAACATAATCTTTTTAGCATTGATATTCATTTATGGCTTGCTTTTCTAACATGTGATTCTTTCATGTGGCATTAACCTGCAAAGTTGCGACCAAATATTTTAGTTTCATGGTTATGGCCTGAAGATAGCAGAAATGACTCAGTTTATGGTCTTACAATCTGATATGATGCAATTTCTCTCTTTTTCAGCTTTGATGAAACCCTGCTCTCTTTAGCTGTCGTTCCAGGTTTTGACTCTCTGCTCTTGTCTTTTACATTTTTACCCTTTCCCTCTGAGGCCTAAGCATTTTTCTTGCAAGAAAAAAAAATCTGGAATTGAAATGGTTTTTGTTGCTGGAAAACCCCTCTTTATATAAGTTGGTAAGATATTCTTGGAGAATGATAAGCCAAATGTTCAAGTATTATCAATATAAGCAAATTAATTCATGCATAAAAAAATTGCTTCTGCTATCTCTAAAAAGAAACCACCATGATATAGAGTTGTCTCAAGAATTTTTAGGAGTTTATTGACCTCGATTTACATGCTGTGTAAGGCTTACCATGAAAGAAAATTTAACAGAACATTGGATATCTTTATTTATATTGTTCAAATGCTAGAATGTGCTTATTAGAATCTATTCTTTGACAGCAGGGCTTGTTGTGGGATACCTCAGAAAATAAAAACACCAAACTTTGTTTGAAAGAGAATAATATTATGACTATCTCTACTTATTTGAATTTTTCATGAAATCAGGAAGGACTAAAAGTTGGTTTATTTATTTTTCTGTCCATCTTAAGCATGCAATGCACGTGTACTTATGTTTGATAGTGAATCATTTGGTCTTTAAGTGACTTGACATTATATACACAGAGGCTTGAAATTGTGGTATCTAAAGTTATATGCGCTCATCATGGGCGGGGAAAGTAGGACTGCTGCTGGTTTGGTTGCACGCTTAACTTAAAGACGCCAATCTTTTATAAGTCGCTGCTGTATATCATGCAAGTCCTACTGCTTTTTGTGTGGCTGCTACTTGGAGAATGCTACTTGTCTCAAATGTTACCTTGTCAAATTTGGAAATCTTAGGACTCATGTTGCGGAAGACGGCTATCGAATAGAGCAAAATCACAACTGATAATTTGAGAAAATAAAAATGAAGATAAAGAAGACACAAAATTTACGTGGAAACCCCCTAAATAATATAGGGTAAAAACCACGGGCAACGGTAGAAGAATTCCACTATGAGAAAATAGGAATTACAACTTCTCTCGATCTACTAAGGAGAAAACAATGATAATTCTCTCTTGATATAAAAGAGAAAACAACTCTAAATAAACTCTCTAAATTCTCTAGTATTGGAAGAAAGCTAGAATGCTTTGGGATGATTTTGAAGCTAAATGAGATAGGGTATTTATAGTTGAAGATTAAAGACTAATTTATAAATATCCTAAATTATAATGACTAAAAATGAGATTTAACCATTGTTCAAATTCAACCAAAAATTTCGGTGCATTAATTATACCACCGAAAGTTGTTTTGGCCATGTGGCCAACTTGGCTTTTTCAACAATCTCCCACTTGAAGATTTCATTGGAACAATTATATCTTCACACCATTCTTTCTACCTTGTACCATCATGTTGCTTACGTCTCTGACAGGCCACAAGAGGATCGACATCGAGTAAATGTATCAGCATTTACCATCTTT